AAGGGTATTTATAGGTATTTATAGGAAAAAAAATCAGAATTTTTTAGGATTTTTTAGTATTTTTTTAAAAAAAATTTCGATTTTTTTTCATAATTTTATTGTCCAAAAATCGCCAGCCGTTGGATTAAAATTTGGAATCAAATCGGAGCGCTGGGGGACTGCCACGTGGCTTCCACCCGTTGTGGCTGACGTCGCGCCGGCGGCCGCGGCCCCGGGTGCATTTTTTTTTTTGAAAAGAGACAAGTACAAAAGGTAGGCTCATATCCGAAAAACTACTTGTTACAATCCTCAAATAGAACATCATAAGAAAATTTGAGGGTTCTTCGAACCAAGAGATATAACTCTTTATAAAAAGAGCAAAACGTGCAATCCGATGAGCAACTTCATTGGCTTGGCGGCGGATATGGAAATAACCATCCCCAGTGTCATGAGACAACAAAACCTGTATCCTCTATCACAGGACCGATGAAGGACCTATTAATAAAGTTAGCAGCACCGGAAGGAATCGCAGCATGGGGAATGCCATCGTCTCATCGCAAGGCTCATTTTTAGTTATGGGTCATAGGGCGGGCAGCTTTATCTGATCAAGGGCCGGGGCACATGGGTCCTGGTACTATCTAGGTGCGAAGAACCACAGAGGTGACTGCAATGAGCAGAAATCTCACTCACATGGGTCCTGGTACTATCTAGGTGCGAAGAACCACAGAGGTGACTGCAATGAGCAGAAATCTCACTCACCGGCCTAAACGACGGGCAAACACTCGAACATTAGAGCAAGGGAAATGTAACAATCTTGAGCAAATCACTTTCAAAACAAACTTTGCTAAACTCTCTTTCTATCGACAAAGAGGCTCCATCCCTTGCAGCTAAAGCCTCCACTTGTGAAATTGAATGCACATTGTCCATGTGCAAGGCTCACCTTATAAGGAAACATCCTTGTGACTCCCTTGGTACAACTCCCACCCCACCCACGTTATCCTCTGATAACCAAGCTTCATCAACATTAATTTTAGTAGTCTCCCCATCTTGTTTTACCCACTGTTATTGGCTCGTACCCCCATTTCCTTTCCCTATTCCTTCCCTTGCAAAAATTCCTGCAATTTACTCACTGCTTGACAACTAGTAGCCTCAGGACGTTCCTCCTTGTTATGCCAAAGCTTCCCATTTCGTGTCTCCCAAATTGACCATCCCAACATCATAAAAATAGCAAAGTCAGATTTGGAGAGTAATCTAGCTTTATCTAACACCCACTCATAAGAAGACTGTTCAAAATTTAGTAGAGATGCTCGTGCCAATGGTGAACTGCGCCAAAAACCTATTGCAAAGGGGCATGTGCTAAGAATATATAGAGTAGATTCTGTCAAACAAAGTAGGGCAAATATTCATATATACTCGTATATGCTTATATCAGTTTATCTCCAATATAAAGGTATTTATAAGGAAGTACAACCCTAAATAAAATAGGAAATCAATATAAATTACAATATGAAATAAATATCAATTATAATAGGACTAGATAAATGAGTAAGTAACCAAAATCCTAACTAAATTAGGACTCGCCAACACTCTCCCTTAAGTTGGGGTAAAGATATTTCGCATGCCCAACTTGACAAGCTAGTCATAGAACACCATATTTGACATTGATCAATCGAATTAGTGACATAACTGACAAACCCTAACAAATAAGGCATATAGAAGAACACATAAAAGCATAACACAGAAACCCTGTGAGCACGACAGTAGATAAGGCAGAACACAGAAACCCTGTGAGCACGGCAATAGATAAGGCATGTGAGCACGGCAATAGATAATGCATGTGAGCACGACAATATATAAGACAGAACACAGAAATTTTGTGAGCACATCAGTAGATAAGGCAGAACACAGAAACCCTGTGAGCACGGCAGTAGGTAAGTATGAAACATATTCAACAAACTAGGTTCCATAGTGTGCATCATCCAACTTTTCACGGTAGTATCATCAATTTTTCACTTTTCAAATTGTGGATCTTTGGAATCTGAGGCATCAGAGTCATGAGTTAGGTAACTCAATTTTCTTTGTGAAGTAGCATGGAATTTAATCATGGAAGCCTAAATCAAATGGTTGGATCCATTCAATTTGAATCCCAATAGGTTGGTGGACGATCAAAACATAGCAACATCATCGACAATGACTATAGCAATTAAAAGTGAAGCAAAAAAAGGCAACATCAACGGCGGCAGCAATGGCCACGTCAATGACATCGGAAAAATAGAATTATCAAATTCTTCCATATCAACTGTAGCTAATTCAAGCAGACACAACTTCTCTTCCCTCCACCTATCACCCTAAAGAGAAGGGGTCGTTGGAGTTAAGAAATAGGCAATATATTCATAGAAGTACGTCAAGGTAATGAGAATACGTCAATAAACATATCATTTTCACTCCCTTCCCCTTTTGAAAAGAAGGGGAGGAGAGCACTTAAATTGCAAGGATAACGCAAGCACAAGTTACAAAAAAACCTAGGCTCTGATACATGTCAAATAAAGTAGGGCAAATATTCAGATATGCTCGTATATGCTTATATCAGTTCATCTCCAATATGGAGGTATTTATAAGAAAATACAACCCTAAATAAAATATAAAATAAATCTAAATTCCAATAGGAAATAAATCTCAATTATAATAGGACTAGTTAAATGGGTAAGTAGCCAAAATCCTAACATAGTAAAGGATCAAAATCGTAACTAAGTAAGTACTCGCCAACAGATTTCAACGGCTAACTACAGAAAATACAGCCATGATCAACTTTTACTCTTTTTGGTTGTAAATTTGTCATTATTGGGAGAATGTCAGAGCAAACACGCCACCAGAACATGTTCACCCTCTCTGGCACTTGGGTTGTCCAAATAGCTGACCAAATTTCTGTAGAACTATGA